AATTTCCGAAAATGGTTGAAAAACGGTCGAAATTAGCCTTATCTTACAACATGCTAGCCCCGCGCACCCACCCTTTATTTTCTTGGCGGATATGTCATCTGCCAAAATCAGTCTTATTTTAGGAAGTACTAGCCCCGCCCACCCACCTCTGTTTTCTTGGAAGATATGTCATCTGCCAAAATCAGTCTTATCTGAAGCAAATACAAGCCCCGCCCACCCGCCCTCTATTTTTTTGGAAATTATGTCATTTATCAAAATCAGTTTTATCTTAGCAAGTGGTAGCCCGCCCACCCCCATTCTTCTCATCCTAACGAGTAATAAATCTACATATTTCTGTTCAGTATAAGAACGATACAGTGTCGTCCCCCAAAATTCTCAAGTGGACCCGTCCGGACTTATTTACGTACACTGCGGTGTTTCAAAATAATCAGTTCTGAATTATAAATATTTCAAAGACGCTATCTTCAGATTACTTCGTAATTTCATTTTGTGGTGTTATTTCTTCTGTCAAAAAGAGTCAAAAATACAATATATTTTTTCTGATAAAATAAAAAATCGAGTTGTAGTTGAATCAGCAGAAAAGCAGAAAATGACGCCTAGAGATCAAAATCTGCAATAAAATATCTAGCTAATTTTCGAAAATGGTTGAAAAACGGTCGAAAATGTCAAAAGGGCCAAAATCAGCCTTATCTTACCGAATGCTAGCCCCGCCCCTCCACAAAATCAGTCTTATTTTAGCAAGTACTAGCCCCACCCACCCGCCCTCTCTTTTCCTGGAAGATATGTCATTTGCCAAAATCAGTCTTACTTTAGCAAGTACTAACCCCGCCCACCCGCCCTCTATTTTCTCGGGAAATATGTCATTTACCAAAATCAGTTTTATCTTAGCAAGTACTAGCCCCGCCCCCCCACCCTTCTCATTCTAACGACTAATTTTATTCATGTGCAGTATAAGATCATTTATTTCATTTAGGGCGGATAAAATTAATCACTGAAATGAAGGCAGGGTGGGTGGGCGGAGCTAATTATGTTTTCCAATGGAGTGGGAGTGAAAACTAATAGAATCTAGGATGTGAAAATAGTAAAAAAAAACACTAATCGTAAATTTTTTGTTATACTATTTGCTACTAGAACTATAAAAATTGCTATATTGGCGATTTTGGAAGAACAGTAGAAATTTTCGAAGAAACGAAGCCGAAAATGACTCCTAGATGTCGAAATCTACAAGAAAATGTCAAGCTAAATTTCGAAAATGGTTGAAAAACGGTCTAAAATGTCAAAAGTCATGCTAGCCCCGCCCACCCACCCTTTATTTTCTTGACGGATATGTCATCTGCCAAAATCAGTCTTATTTTAGGAAGTACTAGCCCCGCCCCCCCACCCTTCTCATTCTAACGACTAATTTTATTCATGTGCAGTATAAGATCATTTATTTCATTTAGGGCGGATAAAATTAATCACTGAAATGAAGGCAGGGTGGGTGGGCGGAGCTAATTATGTTTTCCAATGGAGTGGGAGTGAAAACTAATAGAATCTAGGATGTGAAAATAGTAAAAAAAAACACTAATCGTAAATTTTTTGTTATACTATTTGCTACTAGAACTATAAAAATTGCTATATTGGCGATTTTGGAAGAACAGTAGAAATTTTCGAAGAAACGAAGCCGAAAATGACTCCTAGATGTCGAAATCTACAAGAAAATGTCAAGCTAATTTTCGAAAATGGTTGAAAAACGGTCTAAAATGTCAAAAGTCATGCTAGCCCCGCCCACCCACCCTTTATTTTCTTGACGGATATGTCATCTGCCAAAATCAGTCTTATTTTAGGAAGTACTAGCCCCGCCCACCCACCCTCTGTTTTCTTGGAAGATATGTCATCTGCCAAAATCAGTCTTATCTGAAGCAAATACAAGCCCCGCCCACCCGCCTTCTATTTTTTTGGAAAGTATGTCATTTATCAAAATCAGTTTTATCTTAGCAAGTGGTAGCCCGCCCACCCCCACTTGTCTCATCCTAACGACTAAATCTATTTCTGTTCAGTATAAGAACGATAGAGTGTCTTCCCCTAAAATTCTCAAGTGGACCCGTCTGGACTTTTTTACGTACACTGCGGTGTTCTAATTATTCCTGTGTTCTTAAAACTATTTCCATTCTAATAATCAAAATAATCAGTTCTGAATTATAAATATTTCAAGGACGCTATCTTCAAATTACTTTGGATTTTCATTTTATGGTGTTATTTCTTCTTTCAAAAAGAGTCAAAAATACAATATATTTTTTCTGATAAAATAAAAAATTCAGTTGCAGTTGGACGGGTTGTTAAAATAAATTACGTCTGAATATTTGATTTTATCTAGAGTGCAAATACCATGAGAAGAGCATATTGTGTTCTCATAATTTTACGTCCACTGTGCCATTTTATTCGTGTCTTCTCAAACTATTTCCATTTTAGTAATATCACTTCTGTTTTTATTTCGCTTTAGATTGCTTCGAGTATTTCATTTATCTAGAGTGGAAATACTATGAGAAGAGCATATTGAGCTATCGCTTATGACAGTATGAAAGTCATTACGGCTCTAACCAGTGGCCTACAATTTGTTTTTTTAAATAAAACATCCTATACACTTTTACATATTTTGATCGGTTTCTTCTCAGGCTTTACAACTACAGTTTATTTTTGAAATACTGATGCGGCGTTGCCACGTTATTCCAATTTTCTTGAAATTTTTTAGCAACGGACTTGTTCACAAAAAAATTGCAGTAGGGTTATTTTTAACATATGTGTATTACAATATTTTGCGGAGAAGTCGAGCGAAGTAAGTTGAGATATAGCTGAAATGAAATTTTCATATACAGAGTGTTTGTTTTAATTGTTTCAGTTTTGAATTATCGATATTTTAATTTTTTCGAACACATCCTATATTTTATCCCTGCATCTTATTCAGCTTTTTTTGTTAAAAAATTTCTATATTATTTTATATTACATTAATAAAATACAGGGTGTTCTATTTGAAAAAAGTGAAATATCGACGGTTGAAAATTGTAAAGTTTTAGAAATTTTTAAAAACACTATATATATACTATTTCTACAAAATGTTGTACTGCGATGTTTTTGTGAACACTTCCATTGCCAAAAAATTTCAAGAAAATTGAAATAACGTGGCAACGTCGTATCGATATTTTAAAATTAAACTGCGGTTATAAAACCTAAGAAGAATCTAACGATGAGAAACAGTGTCTTCCCCCTAAATTCTCCAGTGGACCCGTCCGGACGCTTTTACGTCCACCGCAGACGCTTTTAAAATAATCAAAAAATATTTTAAAAATGTGAACTAGGACGATGCAGAAATTAATGTTTATAAAGAAATTATAAGGAGCAAATTTGTTTAGAATATTGATTTAGATGCTTAGATTTTGATACTAGAAAGAATAAAATCATTTTATTTGTGCTAATCGCTATACATTATAAAAAGTAGCTTATGCATGGAAAGTAAAAATACTCCGCCACTGCCTTTGATTCGAACGTATTATGTTACGAAAACACAATCTGTTAACTTGTATATGTTTGATCTGGCGCGGAATGCGAGGAAATCGGGTGAACAACCAAACGATTGCTCTAAAAGAATGAATGCATTGATAAATCGTGCGTAGTTTTTGCACTGGAAAAAGTTACGATCAAGATTTCAACAAGAACATGCATGTCACTTCCAATACGTGCTCTTATACTTGTCCAAAATGTGATGACGAAAAAAATCAAGGCAGATTCATAACCTACAAGTATAGGAGTGTGTTATTTTACAAAATTTAAGTACAATAATACAACAGTTTAATTTTAATTTAATGTTTATAAAATCCTTCAAGATTAACCGCGGCAATTCATTATCGTTTTATCCTATTTTATTTTGTTTAAGTCAATTTCTTTTGGCCTCTTCCGTTTGTAAATAAGAGACCTTTTAATTAATCTGAACATTTTCCAAACGTATTTTCGTCAGCTGTTGCACTTACTGTCACATAATTTACCCCATTAATTTGAGATGTCCAATTATTTTCTAATTTTTGGATTCGAACTGTATCCATAAATCGTGCACGTTTAGATAATCAAGGACTCTCAAGAGCTCCACAACGAGCCAAAACGTAAACCTACATTCTGAATTTACAAAAATTTTCAATTTTTATTGCAGACGATATTTCTTTCAGATTTATATAAATCGGATTTTTCAAAAATATGTACAAACCGCTTTTAATCTACACATAAATCATAAAGAAGAATACGAGGGATTAACAAAATCCATATTTTGCAAACGTTTAATTAGAGTTGGCGAACACCCAGAAACACTCTTGACAAGCTTTATAAATTTCATCTCTTAAAATAAAGAGCCAAAAGTGCGTGGTTAACTTTGATTAGTTTTAAGCCCAATATTAAGTCACAACTAGTGGCTAACATAATGTAAAGCACTTTTCGAATTTAACTTTAATATAATTTTTGAAAATATTTATATAGATTAAGTTCTTCGGTGAATAAATCCCACAACCGACACCAGCATTTCCACATTCATCAAAACTCCAACAAAACAACTCGCAGCACTTTTTAAAACTGCATTGTCTGCGAGCTTCATGTTTCATCGGTGCCGCTTCTTCGAACCTTGAATTCCAGACGACTGTTTTTACCATCTTGAATAAATTCAAACAAGCAACAAAGTGATATCCCAGATACTATTGTCGTCTGTTCTCTTTGTGTAAAGCACTCACCATTCAACACTAAAGTAATTTCTCGCATGCACACAACAAAAACCTGTGTCGCAATTTCCTCACACAAACGTCACATACTTAGGTGTACCAGTGACTAAGCCCATTTTTAATTCTCATAAGCACCAATCCGAACCGTATAAATCTGTCTAGCCAGCCGCATTTTAATCCTCCCACTCAAGTCTGCGGGAACCTGAACGACAAGAAGTGAAATATTTACAACGGAAAGTCAACGCTTTCATTAACACCAACATAAAACTAATAAAACGTTTAATTTGGGTTAAAATTCCAACAACAACAATAACGACTACAGAGACTAATGATGCTTGACATGTGAGTGGCTATGCTTGTGGTCGTGGTGGCCACCGTGGCCATGCTTATGTTGGTGGCCATGCTTGTGGTACCCGTCGTGGTGGTGGCTGTGTTTGTGGTCTTGTTTATGACCGTGGGAGTGGTGGTGGCTGTGGCCATGGTGGTGGTCATGACCGTGCGAACCGTTGTGACCATGGTCATGCGAATGCTCTTGCTTATGTTCATGCTTATGACCATGCTGATGCCCGTGGCTATGTTCAGCCCGGTGTTCGTGTTTATGGTCACCATGATGGGCGTGCTTGTGGAGGTCTTGGTGCTGGTGCTGGCCACTATGTTGGTGACTGTGTTGATGTTGCCCGGCGTGCTGATGCGAGTGTTTGTCGCCATGGTTGTGCCCATGCTTGTGACCATGCTTATGTTCCTGTTTGTGTTTATGAACGTGTTCTTGTTTATGGTTGTGCTCATGAACGTGTTTGTGTTTATGGTAGTGGACTTCCTTTTTGTTTTTCTTGAAGTCGTACCTTTGCATCAGGTGTTTGTCGTCTTCGTCATAATAGTCTTCTCTGTGGTCGGCATCATAGATGAGTTTGTCGTTACTATAATCTAGTTTCTTAGCTGGTAGTACTTCATAGTTGTCGACTATGGGGTTGGTGATGTAGTTCGGCGCGCTGTGCAAGTACTGGAGGTTGTCATAGCTGACTGGGTGCTCCTGGTGGTAGTACTGGAAGTAGTTGGGTTCTTCGCCTGTGGTCAAAACAGTAACCCCTCCTACGATTCCAGTCAGGAAAAGCTTGACCAAAAGCACACTCGCTTCGACCTGAAACAAACCCAATTAGGTACTAACTTTTCAGTTTTTTGTCTTACGTTGGCTCCCATGGTGCTAAACGTGTAGATCTAGCCACCCAAGCTGAGAGTGAAGATCCTCTCCACCTTCCCCCTTTTATATATAACTCAATCCCTCTACACAATTTTCTACTAACGAACTCTTTACGCACGAATTGTCAAAATGCACCTTAATGCAAAAAGTAATTACCTACACCGCTGTTATTTTCCTGTGTTTTGTCGTGATAAGCGTTTATTAAAAGCACGCTCTTGTGGTTATTGATGAGGAACTCATTAAGACGGCTGTAAGTTGCTGATTGTTCTTTGATTGTTATTAAAAATTAATCTAGCGGATGCGTGCGTTAATTGTTTGACAGTTTTAATGAACGCATCAATCTTGTATCGGTTTTGATTTTTCACGATTTGCGCCAATTTCCCGTTTGTTTTCACTGTAATTATTAGTGTGGTGTTACATGCGGTTATTAATTTGCATTTGTAATTAGCGGTTGGATCGTAATGGGTAGTACTACTTGTGGTGAGGTTTGTAGTTGAACGGCTAGACGTAACGATTTTAAACCGAATACCTTTATAGTAATCTCGTATTTTAAAACTTTATAAATGTGATAAAAAATCAACTGGCTTCGATGCGCACTAATTTTATTATTTTATTGGCGAACCAGTTGGTTTTAGCGGCAGAAATCTTCTTTATCTTTATTGATTAAATTTACGACGTAATTAGCTTCCATGGAAGCATAATGTAGGGGATTGAAAATGCTGTGCTCAGGCATATTTCATTTTACGAGGAGGAATTAGTATGACTATTAATGATTGAACAAATTTTTATGTTGGTAATTCTGAGTTATTGGCAGTGTCAATTTTGCACTTTACAAACGTGATGGAAAGACGACTTAGTGCCCTAAATTTCGCTTGGATAATCAGGCACGCCATCCCAAATTTTGAATATATTGCCAACTTGACAAAAAAATCACAATCATTATAAGTCACCCGGTATCTAGCGATTTTTTTTATAATTATCTTCTGTAACTGACAAGGGTTATCTGCTCAGGCAGGTCCTGTTTCCAGTTAAATGTAGTTCAAATATTTCAAGGAACTAGTTTTTTTTAAATACATTTTTAAATGGTTTAAATGTGAACATCATTACTTCTGAAAAAAAAAACGTGAAAAATTGTATTTTATAGTAGCTCCATTAGTTAGTAACGTATTTTTTCGTATCTGAGTCAAGCCGAAAATTTCAATTCATCTCGAAAAAAAAAGTGGAAAAAAAGAAATGCAGTTGTCATCACTTTTTTCACATCATTATTATAATGTTCTTGTTTATACATAGATTCTTCACTTAATATTTCAGTTCTCGAATTAATTTTTCCTTGGGTAACGCCTAGTTTACGAATTTCAATTCCGTGCATTGAATTTTTTGGTCTTGTATTTTTTTTATATTTTTGATTTTACGCTGCTCACTGAAAATAATATAACATTTTATTTTTTTTATTTCCTTCATTCAAATTCATTTAAATTTTCAGTTTGGAGTCAGCGTTTTATGACAGCTTCATTTTCGACTAGTTAAATTTTGCGTAATATGTCTTCAATCAATAACAGAGAGCTAATCTTGTAAACAATGTTTTTTGCTTCATTTTTTTATTATTTTGTGCCTGGAAACTGTAAAAATACACTATTCTACACTGTAAATGAAATTAAAGAACCTTTTAAAAAGCTAAATAACCTCATGATTTATATTCCATGTTCTCATTTAGAAGACTCGCAGAACTAGAGCTGAAATACTATGAGAAGAACATTAGTCGGTCACTTATGCTTAGGCCAGTGTTGTATGAGTTCTGAAAGGAGAGCATTTAAAAAATGTATATTTTCTTATATCTATACAGGATGACTCACTAAAGCCGCATTTTTGCTTATTTTTGAAATTCTGATGCGACGTTGCCACGTCATTTTAGGTTTTTTGTTTTTAGAAATGCTAAGGTTCACAAAAAACACAGTAATGTTATTTTTAAGATCTGTGGTGCAATATTTTAAGCAGAAATAAACAGAGCTACACACTTCGTTGTGGTTGGTCTCAATTGAATCAAATTTTAATATATAGTGTTTCCAAAAAAAAAAAAATAATAATGAAACGTTAATATTTTCACATCCTTTTTTGAATATATAAGTGTCTCACTCAAAAAAAAAAAAATCATTGTAACTATCAACTTTATTTGTGTTTTATTTGAAAAAACTGAAATACGGATATTTGAATATTGTAATAATTTAATTATTTTTGTTAGCCCTAGGTATATTAAGACTCAATTTATTTATATTACAAAAAAACGCTTACCTTTATTTATCTGTCCACGAAATATTGTAACACAGATTTTAAAAATAACCTTGTTGTGATTTTTTTGTATTTCCATTGGCAAAAAATTTCAAAAAAATTGGAACAACATGACAACGTCGCATCCGAATTTCAAAAATAAACTGTAGTTATAAAACCCAAAAAGAGATCAATCAGAATATGTAAAAATATATAGGGTGTTCCATGTGAAAAAACTAAGTTGTGTTATACTTTAAAAACAGGACACTCGCGCTTAGTAACTCACCCTGTATATAATACATATATAAACTTAAATAATTTTGACAAAGCAAAAAACGACAAAGACCAAAGTTGTACGGTTCTTTGAGGACTATACTCAAAAATTATTTTTAACTATATAGAGTGTTCTGTAGTACAGAACCTATTTTATTTAATGAAACATTCTTTATATTTTTATGTATTCTTATTAGCCTTTTCCTAGATTAACTTATTTTTGAATTGCGACGTTGCCACGTTCTTCCAATTTCCTGAAATATTTTGGTAGTGAAAGGGTTCAAAAAAAAATATAGGGTTATTTTTAAAATCTGTATTACAATACTTTGTGCAGGGATAAATAAAGGTACGCGCTTTGTTGTTGTATCAATTAAATCAAATTTTAATACACTGGGTGTTTATTAAAAAAGCACAAAATTTTATAATTTTCAAATATCAATATTTCAGATTTTTCATAAAGAACACCCAGTATTTTATTACTGTACCTTACTCTATTTTTTGTCCTCATTCTTCCAAAGTCCGATGTCCAAGTCTGAAAAAGTAAAAAATCATAGTAACTATTAAATATAAACGTAGAAAATACTTAAAAAAAGATAGACAAAAATAAAATAGTAATAAAATGCAAAGTGTTCGATTTGAAAAAACTGAAATATCGATATTTGAAAATTGTAATAAGCATTTTTGCACACTCTTTATATGAAGATTCAATTTTATTTATACCACAGCAAAGCGCATATTTTTATTTATTTTTCCACAAAATAGTGTAACACAGATTTTAAAAATAACTGAATTGCGCTTTTTTTTTGTGAACCCTTCCTTCTATTGATAAAAAAATTCAAAAAAATTGGAATAACTTGGCAACGTCGCATTTAGAAAGAGGTCAAACAAAACATGTAAAAATATGTAGGGTGTTCTATTTAACAAAATAAGTTCTGCGTGACCCTTTAAAAATATAACACCCTGTATAGTTAAAAATACTCCCGAAAGACCCATTCAACTTTGGTTTTTGACTTTTTTCTGTCTCTAATAATCAATGATATATCGGAGAATATGCACTTAGTAAGTCACCCTGTATATTATTCGTATATATAAGAAAAAGAAAAATTTACAACTTTCGGTAAAGTGATACTAGGTACAAAATCTAAGCTAAAATTAATGTTTATATTTTGAAATATGAGACTTAGGAGAATATATCGCATCTTTTTTCAACGTTTCTATTTTTTTTATTGCCATTAATATTAAAATTTTCATATTTTAAATAGTTATTCGTAATCTCAGTTACATAATAAGTAGGCTGTCTTTTTCATTGCCCCTGCGTCGTCTGTTAATTCTGCTGTTAGAACCCAAGAGACACGAACATCGTCGAATCGAAATATTTCCGTTAAATTCAAATCGTTAGGGCTACCAGTTTTGAAAACATTGAAGTGCTTTTTGTAAAGAAATATTAAAGTTTCCCGATCTTGAAGAACCAAAGTTTCCATTCATACGATATTTTATAAACGATTTTCTTTCTTGATATTCGTAACAAATTTCCTGTTTTGATGTCGCTGCGACATTGACTTTTCGTCCCTTACTATTTCATCTTCCACTTATTTCGCTTTTGATATTGTACTATTCAAGATTTCTTTTGAAATTATTTTATATAAAAATCACACAAAAAGAGATAAATATAATGTAAAAATGAAACAAAAGAAGCTTTCTGTTAAATTTAAAAACAAATTTTTGTTTAAACGGAACTAAAAATTAATCTTCTTTTGTTACACATGCATTTCAAGGAATTCCAATTAATTTTAATAAATTTTTTGTTTGTGAAGATAAACCACTGAAATTTTACATTTATTTTTTTTAATTAGAGATCCATAATTTCACAAAATTTTGTGAATTTTTGGCCCTGATCAATGTGTACAGTTCAGTATTTTAGTTAGAGCAGAAATTTCAAAAAATTATAGGCCTATCGGTGGTTGAAGTATCGAATCATAAACAAGAAAAATGTTGTTACTTCAAGGCGAAAATTTATACGAAAACACAAAAATAGTTACTTGTTAAAATCATCCTTTATTTGCGGATAAAAGTCCCAACAGACAACAACATTTAAAAACAAAAACAACAAAATCAGTGCTTGTGGTGGCTCTGCTTATGAGAGTGCCCATGCTTATGCCCATGGTGGTGCTTATCTTCATGCTTATGCATATGCTGATGCTTATGCGACCCCTGGTGATGGTGCTGATGCTTGTGACTCCCCTGGTGACTATGGTCGTGATGATGATCATGCTTATGGTCCTGATGATGTTCGTGCTTGTGGTCAGAATGATGAGAATGCTTGTGCCCGTGATGATGACTATGCTTGTGATCCTGATGATGCTTGTGGTCGTGTTTGTGATCGCCATGGTGGCTGTGCTGATGCCCGTGTTGGTGTTTGTGGTCGTGTTCGCCATGATGATTATGAACGTGTTTCTGTTGATGTTCGTGCTTGTGGTCACCCACGTGCTTGTGACTGTGTTGTCCTTGGTGTTGGTGTTTGTGACCGTGTTGGTGCTGGTGTTGACCTTTGTGTTGGTGAACATGTTCTTGCTTGTGGTTGTGTTTGTGGACGTGTTTGTGCTGGTGGTAGTGGACCTCTGCGTGTTCTTCGTCGTGGTCGTGTTGGTCGTGAGAATAGCCGGAAACGTCATATGGTTCTACTTCTTTGTGGTAGCTTTTGGTGTTGATGGTTTCGAGCTGGTGGGGACCTTCGAGGTTGAAGCTGTTGGAGGTTTTGTAGTGGGTGTAGCCTTGGAGGTCACCGAGGAAGTGTTCTGTGTTTTCAAAGTCATCGTCTTTGGCTTCTTTGGAGTATTCGCTGTCGAGTTGGTAGGCTTGGGGGTTATATGTGGGTGCGAGGATTTCGTAGTTTGGTGCGTAACTTGAATACTGGTAAGTTTTAATAGGAAAAGGTTGATAGTTAGTTGCTGTTGCTATCAATCTTGGGTCTTCTGGTGGTGATGCGCTATGTAGGGGAGGTGCTATGGCCATGCTTCGAGCTATGTACGTCACGCCGTCTTCTTCAGACAGGCTTCTAGCTTCGGTTGCTATTAGGCCCAGCAGGAACACACTCGTCATCACCTGAAAAAAATCAGTTATTAGTCTTAACAGTCTTATTCTCTTACCAAAGCTCCCATGTTGCTATATCTAGAAGATAAGCAAACCAAGCTGAGAATGACCTTCCAAGAGCTCCTCGCCGTATTTATACCAAAGAAAAATGCATTTTACGCACGAATTGCTAAAGTGTGGCACGCCACGAAGAAGTGGTGTGTAGTTAATTACACGCAGTAATATACAGAGGTGGCGATAAGATCGAACATCCGATTATTAACGACTAGTAGTTACCGCTAATGAAAGTGTTGTTTTCTAAGTAATTAATCAAGGAAATGGATTCGTTTTGAATCGGTTAATCTTGTTACAGGCAGCAGTCAAGGCTCCCTGGAGCAGGCCCTGGCTTCGAGTCATCTTTTGGAGGAATACAACCGCCACCATCGCCGCCAAACGGACACATTCCTAGTAATAAACTCGGCTCAGAGGTAAATGAATCTGCACAATGTTATCGTCTTCATCTCAACTCGTTGTCACACCTTGTTGAACAGACATTAACGACATAATTTTTCTTAGAAATGCCAAGAAAATAATTAAAGCGGCAACCGAAACTAAACGTTAATTATTAAATTTACACGTCTTAATGATTTTTTAATCTGTTGCTGCTATTGATTATTATTTCAGATACAAGACATAAAAATGGATCCCCCACCATGTGTCCAGAACGCCATGATGAAACAAGACAAGAAACCCTTCACCTACACCCCCGGCGGCATCGACCTGTCCGAAATCAAATCGCCAAGAATGGCCCGAAGAATAGAACGCAACGCCAACTACACCGGCGCCCCTGAAGGCCCCCGCCCCGTTGCACAACAACCCGTCGGTCCCTTACCGCCCTCGGCTTTGGCGGCGATGCAGCCCCAAATGCACGTCCAAGTCTTCCCCACGGGTCCGCCGCCACCACCACCCGGACCCAGAGGCGGCCCTCCTCCCCCACCCCCACCTCCCCCAGCCAACATACCGCCTCCTCCGCCTCCACCATCCGGGCCTCTACCCACACAAAAGGTCGTCACATCCGAAAACCAGGTGCTCGAAAGACCCGACATGACGAAAATCATCCCTGATAACCCGATGATGATGCTACGGAAAACCGGGGGGCCGCAACCTAGGGATTCCTTCATCGACGAACTGTACGGGCAGAAGTCGATGAAGACGCCGCCGGTGAGGTCACCCCCGGTGCAACAAGGACCGAGGTGGCCGCAACAGAACCACAACCAGCCGCCGCCGCCGCCGCAGCAGTGGTCCCCGCCGGTGCAAGAAGTACCGAGGTACCAAGCTCAGCAGCCGTCTCCTCCAGTCCAGGCGAGTCCTCCAGTGCAGCCGGAACCGCAGCGGTACCACCCGAAGGTCATCGAAAGGGTCCCTAGTCAGGAGGAACCAATCAAAACAAGCACTGCTCATTTGGGGTCGCTCTATATACCTCCGATCAACCAACAGCAGCAGCAGCAGCAGCAAAGAAACGTGACAAGTCCTCCGCCGCCTCCAAAACGTGACCCCCAGTCCCCTCAAATCCAGTCGCCGTCAACGCCGACACTAAAAGAAGCACCACGACCGTGGCAGAAGCAGCAGAAACAGCCAGAGGAATTACCAGCATGGGCTAAGAAAGAACCGGTGGCTGCACCTCCTCAACAAAGGCCACCTCCTCAAGCTCAATCGAGATCACCTCCGGTTCAACAACAGCCCAGTCCCAACGCTGTTTATGTTACTCAGCCTTTGGTGTTTCAACATCCAGGGCCTCCGCCGAATCGTCAACAACAACAACAACAACAACAACAACCAAGAAGAGATGAACAGGGAGCCGTACTTATACCTGTACAGATTGAAAGAAAAACTCCTGCTACTCCTGTAACTCCTGGAAATGACAGGTTCGTGGTGGAGGGTCACAATCGTGTGGTTATTCGTGGGCTTTTAGGTCTCTGAATCGTCAACAGAGCTGGAATAACACCCCGACTCAGTCGAATTCGTTCAAGGTTCTCCAGAAGCTCACCCAGACCGAGGGTGACGAAGAAGACGAGAACGCTCCCGTTGTGGAGCACGGTCCCAGGTACCCGCAGCAGTTCCAGCAGACTCCACCGGTCGAGCAGATGAGGAAGTTGAAGTTGTCCGAGGGTGATAGAGAATTGATGAATAGATTCAGACAAGGTAACGTAGTTAAGAGGAAAATGCGTTGATAATGAGAGTGTTGTTAAAGAGGAGGAAGACCCGAGGTATAGAGGCGGCCTCATACCATCCCGAGTTTTTCGAATTCTTGACGAAAGCGGTACTTGAAATTTTTATAATTAGGTGTCGGGTTCTGTCGCTTTTCTTGATCACTTTTAATTGTGGAATAGGGCAACTTAGCTCTAGTATACTTGTTAACACGCTTCTGACTAACGCACTACTCTTTGACTAGGTGTAGACGATGATACTTCCCTTCATAACGAAGTAGACCCGAGATATCGGGGTCCGGCTATCCCATCAAAAGCTTTTAAACTCCTTCAATCAATGACTGATGGATCTTCTGATACTCCTGTCGGTGCCACTGGTACGATAATTTGAAGCTTGTGGGAGTTTCTTCTAACCGTTTTATTTTTCGCTTTCTTAGACTAACACAGTAGCAAATTCTGCGCGTAGGTATTCATCTTCTTCAACTTGTTTTTGTGTAGTTTCACGTGGACCGCCTACACCCACCGGGAACCGAACTCCTCAGATCAGGAACATACCGATTCAGATAGAAAGTAAGTAAGAGAAGTCTTCACTTGTGGCGTTTTTAACGTGTTTGTAGGGGACGACCAACCCAAGAATTACGTCCATCCGAGCGAACAGACCGTCCCGGAGCCCAAGAAATACACAGGTAGCTCAATACCGAGCAGGTCTTTCAAGATCTTACAGGCAATGACTGCGCCTGATAGTTGTGGTAAGTTCCGAGCGACTCTCCTCTCAAAACCGATACACGTAATATAAACAGTACAGACAAAACAGAAGAAGACGAGCATGGTACACTCATTCTCTAGTCCAACTAACTGTCTTGATCATTTCATTGACGAAATTTTAAAGACTGATATAAATAAGTGATTTTTTGAAGCCTACCCAAATTTTTGCCGACACGTCAAATTTGAACACGAAAATTATTTTGTTGTAGCCAATGCCAATGAAGTAAACGAAAACTACGACCCCTCCTCGTATAACCAATGGGGCTACGACCCCAACTACCCTCCCCCTTACCCTCCATACTGGCCCGATTACTATTACAATTATTATTACCCGAGTAAGGAACAGAATGAGAGCGAAAGAGACATGCGCCAGACACCCGTGCCGTTCTGGGGGTACTACCCCCCGCCGTCGCCTTACCCGTACGTGCAGCGCCCTCTCCGAACACCAGACGTAGAATCAGAGAGTAGTACCGCTAGAAATACGCCGTTGCCGTGGGGGTACTACCCTCCGTACTACGCACCAACGCCGACTCCGAGCAGAGAAATCGAAGAGTACTACTCGGAAAAAGAAGAAAGCAGCCAGCAGAATTACGCACCGCCACCGCCGCCGTACCAGTACCCGCCGTACTGGGATCCGTACTACTACTACTACGGGTACCCACCAGTGTACTCACCGTATCCGTTCTACGAACAAACCGATGGTGAAGAAACCGCAGGGTACTCGTCCACGGACGAAATGGCGTACTTCAGTCAAAGAATCAAAAACGAGAGAGACGAGTCGGAACGAGAGGCTTCCAAGACCCCCAAAATCTTGGTAACTCCGACTTTGCCTCAAGAATTCAACCACCCGAAACCAGAGACCGAATCCGAGCGCGATTCCTCCGAGTCCGACTCAGAAACGGAAGTGGAAACTGAAGAAGAACGCTTCCAGACGAAACGCAGCCAAAGTTCTAACGGGCTACAAGCCATCCCGTCGGTCAAAGACATCAAAATTTACGACAATGAAGACGAACAGAACTCCGACGAGGAAGAAAACGCTGATGATTGTTCGGAAGAAACGGAAGACAATGAAGATTCGATTTCGTACGTGGTGGAAGAGGAGGAAACGATCCCTCACCAACTGAGCGTCATTTTTGAAGAAAGCGAGCGGAGCGACTCGAAACGGGAATCAAGCGTGCTGAGCGACTCGACCACCATCGCTGACAAAAGCGACGGTGAAGAAGACGAAGATGAAGAAAACTCGACCGCTGTTAGCGTCAAGTTACCGTTGAAATTCAAGGTCGAGGTGACGGACAACAAGGAGATAACCACTGTGATCGTGGGTGAAAGCGAGATCAAAGTTGAAGATGACCAAGATGGTGAAGACGAAACAGGCGATACATTCGCCGCCTTCACTATCAAGTCGGTTGCGAAAGCGACCGAACCAGAAACCGAAGCTGTGATTTGTGCTAGTGATGATGACAAAACTATTCCAAAAGAGGACGAAGAGGAAGAGCAAGACTGGTGGGGAATCTTGAACAAAGATGACGATGTTCTTCCCGTTCGTCCGAAGAAATATGAACCGTACGAAGAAGAAGAAGAGAAAAAAGAAGATAAAGTGGAAGTTGTTGTTGAAGAAGAAAAGAGTGATGTTGTCGTTCCGGTGTTGCCGGAGAGGTACGAACCGTACAAGCCGGAACCACACGTCACTAGTGACAAGAAAGGGAAAGAAGACGACGCGAGTTCTACCAGCTCTAGTGATAGCAGCTCGAGTAAGAGCTCATCCGCGTCGAAGAAAGAGGAAGTGGAAAGTGAAGATTCGTCTTCAGAATCAGAGGACGATAGTGATTCGGATGAAGACAGCGAGATGGAGAAGATAAACGATGTTAACAACAACGCGAAAGAGGATCAAGAGAGCGTTCCTGAGCCGTTGTCGATCAAAGAACGCATTCGAGCCCTTAAAGATAGTATTAATAGTAAATCGGAGAGAGTTAAAGAAGATAGTGAGATTAAAATGTCGGTGAAGCAGAAAGTGTCGGCTATTGAGTCTGGTACTATGCAGAATAGTAAGACGACGTCGACTAAGAGCAGTGTGAAGTCGTTTGAAGAATTTAGCGAAGAAGAGGGAGATTCTGGGGTTACTTCAGACATGAGTAGACACATTTCTGACAATGAAGAATTCCCAGAGTTGAAGAAAATGACTCGATATCAGCGTGCAGCGACTCATTCGAGGTTGTTTAAGTTATTGCAGGAAGTTTGTGAGGGTGAAGAAGACTCTGACGACGAAGACGATGGTAACGAAAAAACTGATACACAAATTCCTGAGACGAAAAAAGAAGAAACGACGATGCGGCGCGACCAGTTGAGTTTGCCGCTGAACAACACGAGTGACGAAAGTTTCAGCTCTAGTGGAATTACATCACCAGGGTCTCCCGTCAGCGAAAAACTAGTGTCAGAGTTAGTCCAAAGTATCCTGAAACGTAAAAAGGGTCAAGCTTTCCGAAATGTTCCTCGAGAGAAGCTTCAAGCCGCTGCCCGAAGAATCTTGATGGAAGAGTTTGACGACTCTTCCACGCCCGATAGTAGTTTTTTGTCGCCTCTGCGGAACAACACTGAGAGTTCTACGCCGGCTCAGACCCCTCAAGAGTTCTACAACGACTATAAGCAATATTACGATACTTGGAGCGACGCGGATTTTTTGTACAACGAGAATTACGACATTTTGCCGTCGAAGGCCTTCAGATTGTTACAGGAACATTCGGGTTCGAATAGAACGGGAGCAATAGCCGGGTTGTTGGCGAAATGTCCGAAAATTCTGAGTTCCAAAAACGTCCATCAAGAACTGTTGAAATTGATGGAGGAATCCTGTGAATCTCCTTCCACTGATAAATCCCTTGAACCAAGCGAGGTCACGAGTGCTTCTTGATCGAAACGAGGAGGTGGAATAATCGAAATTGTTTTATTGACACGGACCCGGTTTTGCGATGAGGTACCTACACTATTGAATTGGTCTTTTTGCCTTTTTTATTCTACTGTTCCGTGTAGACTTTTATTTTGTAGCGTTTTTATTTTTATTTTCTTTTTTTTTTCGACTGGTAGGCTTTAAACCGCATTGGTCCAGTAATCTATGTAAGCAGACTGAAGTGAGGTAGATTCCTGGATGGTCCAATGTTTAAATTCTTCTCTCTATGGAGTAAACTCCACCTTAATTTGGTTTCACAAGTCGGTTTTATTTGCATTTGATAATAAAGTCACTATGTGTCGTAATCCCAAGCACCTTTAAGAGCAGCACTAAAATCAGTTTTAATCAATTAACACTCTGTGGTGGATAAGGCTTTAGATGAGATAGTGACTTCCAGTTTTGACCCCCTTATAATTTAATTAATGAAAGGTGTAGTTTGCTTATAGAGACTCCTTAACAAATTAATGAAGTTTGGACTAATTCAGCATTTTCATACACCGCGTCAGCATGTTGTTTGATCTGATTTTAATTTGAATAACGAATAACCGGTTTCGACTAAACTATAGTTACTCTGTTTCAAATGCAAATAAAATTCAAAAGTTTCAGCTGCCAGCGGCGCTCGGCCTGAAGTAACTTCTGTCTTTTGTGTTTTAGGTCCCGATCAATCAGATCTGTAATATTCTGAAGTTATCGTCTTGATGACAGGGATTAAAGATTTTCTCATCACAACATCATGTCGAAATGAGCTATTTTTCTTTTTCAAACAAGTTTGCTGTTTTGCTTTTTGCAGAATCGTTTTCATTTTACAAACAACTTTTTTGTATGAGCGTAAGATTGGTTAATTGCTGTAAATACCCGTTTCGGTTCTTTTAAAGTTAATCAAATCTTGCAAGGATTGTTCTGTTTTATTTCAAAACTACTTAAGCGTTTAGTCGTTTATGCAATTTTCTTGATGCTGTTGTATATAAGGTGTCATACTGCTCTACGTTGTTGTATACTTAACTATGTATTATTTATGTAACATATTTTTAAATAAACGTATTTAATTAAGTGGTGCTTTGACATGGATATATTGATGAGTTGCAACTTGCGAAATTTTTTCTTCAAGTTTGCTCAGTAGGTCAGCGACAAATGCATTTGCGGCGAATTTTTCTTTATTACGTTAGAAGTGGTGCCAGCGACTGGACGAACTTAGAAAATGGTAAGTGTTCTTAAATAATTTTCTGAAAAAAATTAACCAATGAACAGGATAAATCAAAATAAAATTTGTATTTGTATGAGAAGAATCTACAAAGGATTTTTTTAATTTTTCATTTCATGTCAAGGGCATCGTAAATTCAATCAAGTATTAAAAAACATATCAGTACGCTTGGACAGATCACAAAACAATTTAATGTACACATTTTTCAATTTTTTGTTTGTGGTTCATTGGAAAAGTATCGATTTTTTCAAAATTTTAGATATAATGAACCACTGAAGGATATTAATAGGTTTTTAACGAAAATTTTGGAGCTTTCTGTTTGCTTCTGTCAACGCTTTAACGCCTTTTCGTCTGTTCTCTTCTTGGTTTTATATCAATTTTCAGTTTTTCAGAATATTTTTCTCTTCCACCTATTTTCCTCATTTCGTTTTTTTTTTAATGTTTTTTCCTATTTAAAATTTCCTTTCTTTCCTTTGTGGTCAGGTCAGGTTGTTCTTGTTTTAGAAAAGTATTGATATTTTCATAATTTTGAAAATCGAAGTCAAAATTTCTAAAAATTAAATTTTAAAAATAGCCCTTGCAAAAAATTATGAACAATTGTGTACTTTTTCTAGACATTTGCTGCCCTTTGAACGAAAAATATAGCAATATAGGTACCAAAAAATATTCACAAATCACAAGGATTTTCAAAATGAGGGCCTACAAAATTTTAAACTCTAGTGTTTTTCTTTTTTAATTGCACCCATAATTTTTTTCCAAATATGATAAAGAAAATTTGATAATAAATCATTGAAGGACATAGTAGGTTTTTAATGAAAATTTTGAAGTTTTCTGTTTGCTTTTGTCAAAGCTTTAACGCCTTTCATTTTATCTGTTTTCTTCTTGGTTTATTTCAGTTTTCAGTTTTTCAGATTACTTTTCTCTTCCACTTATCTCCTTCATTTCGGTTTTTTTTATATATTTTTCCATATTTAGTTTTTCTTTTATTTCCTTCAGGGTCAGGTCAAATCAGGTCAGGACTGGCCAAGTCAGGTCAAGTTAGATCAGGTCAGGTTGTTTTTGTTTTAGAGTAGTATTGATATTTTCAAAATTTTGAAAATTGAAGTTAAAATTTATAAAAATTACATCTTAAAAATAGCCCTTGTAAAAATTGTGAACAATTGTGTACTTTTTCTGGGCATTTGCTGCTCTTTTTAGAACGAAAAAATATAGTAATATGTATTGAAAAATCTTCATAAACATCAAGGATTTTCAAAATGCGGGTTTACAAAATTTTAAATTCTAGTTTTTTTTATTTTTTAATGTTTTATTTCTTTCTTTTGTGGTCAGGTCAGAACAAGCAAGTCGGGTCAAGTCAGGTCAGGTCAGGTCAGGTTATTTTTGCTTTAGAAAAGTATTGATATTTTCAAAATTTTGAAAATTGAAATCAAAGTTTATAAAAATTACATCTTAGAAATAACCCTTGTAAAAATTGTGAAAAACTGTATACTTTTCTGAATATTTGATGCCCTTTTTAGAACGAAAAAATATAGTAATATATTCAAAATTTTCACAAACATCAAGGATTTTCAAAATGAGGATTTACAAAATTTCAATTTAGTTTTTTATTTTTTAATTTTACCCATGAATTATTTCCATATATGATAAAGAAAATTTGATAATGAACCACTGAAAGATATTAATAGGTCTTTAATGAAAATTTTGGACCTTTCTGTTTGCTTCTGTCAAAGCATTAATGCCTTTTCATCAGGTCTCTTTTTGGCTTTATATCAATTTTCCGTTTTTCAGATTATTTCTCTTCCACCTATTTTCCTCATTTCATTTTTTTCTTTGTAAATATTTTTCCCTATTTTTTCCTTTCTTTCCTTTGTGGTCAGATCAGGATAGTCAAGTCGGGTCAGTTCAGGTCAGATCAAGGTAGGTTGTTTTTGTTTTAGAAAAGTATTGATATTTTCAAAATTTTGGAAATCGAAGTCAAAATTTCTAAAAATTACATCTTAAAATTGTCCTTGTAAAAAAATGCGAACAATTGTGTACTTTTTCTGGACATTTGCTGTCCTTAGAACGAAAAAATATAGCACTATAGGTGTTAAAAAATATTCACAAATATCAAGGATTTTCAAAATGAGGGTTTACAAAATTTTAAACACTACTTATTTTCTTTTTTAAATGCACCCATGATTTTTTTTCCAAATATGATAGAGAAAATTTGATAATAAACCACTGAATGATACTAATAGGTTTTTAATGAAAATTTTGGAGTTTTCTGTTTGCTTCTGTCAAAGCTTTAAGGTTTTCATTCGATCCCTTCCATCTCTTCGCTTCTTGGTTTATTTCAATTTTCAGGTTTTCATATTATTTTTCTCTTCCACCGATCTCCTTCATTTCGTTTTTTATATATTTTTTCTTATTTAGTTTTTCCTTCCTTTCCTTAATGTCAGGTCAGGTCAGTTCAGTTCAGATTGTTTGGAAATGGAAGTCAAAATTTCTGAAAATTAGACCTAAAAAACAGCCCGTGTAAAAAGATCACCAGAACACCAGAATTCTCAACTCCTCAAAACATCATAATCCTCATATCCTTAGAACACCACAATCCTCAAATCCTCAGAACATCACAAACCTTCAAATCCTTAGAACACCAAAATCCTCAGATCCTGAGAACAGCATAATCCTCAAATCCTCATAACACCATAATCCTTAAATCCCCAAAACAGCATAATCCTCAAATCCTCAAAACATCATAATTCTCAAATCCTCAAAATACCACAACCGCCAAATCCTCATAACACCATAATCCTCAAACCTATTTTATTCATCTAACCGAAATAAAATAACTGAACCTGACCTAGTTTGAACAAATCCTGACCTGGTTTGACGTGACCTAATCTGACGTGACTTGATTTGACCTGACTTGATCTGACATGACCTGACCTAACGTGACCTGACTTGACTTGATGTGACCTTACCTGACTTGACCTGCCTTCCGCGACTTGAAATGACCTCACCATTTTTTATATATTTTTTCTTCGTGGTCACAGTTTGCTTTATTTCTTCCTGAACGTAAGCGAATTTAAATATCGTAGTAATGGCCATCGGGCGTCCGACTACTTTCATGTTTTCCAGAATCTCCTGTTCCAAAAGTACGGAAAAGGTGGTGTTCCGTTTCCGTCTGTCTGTCATCTGTCTGTCGTCTATTTCAATTTTTAAATCTCCGAAACTACTGGACCCAAAATTTGTCCAGTCGTCTTCACCAACAATGAGATGACGTCATCTCAAAAATTCACATTAGTAAATGTTATTTAAATTTTATGTAATAAGATGCTCCTGTACTTGTGGTTTATGAATCCGTTTTGAGATTTTACCCCAAACATCCAGATTTTTGAGGAAAAAAAAATCAAAATTATACATATAACATTTGGCAATTTAACTTTGAATTTGTAAAAATTGATAGATCTATCCTTTATAAAGTCATTTAGTCATAAAATTAACTCTCAAATTTTAATTTTATAATTTTTTATAATGCATCAGGGGCGAGAGAAGTTCTGTATAACTAAATGTAGACCAATTTTTTTTCTTCAGATACTGTAGTACCTATAATTTCCAGACCTCTACAAATATTTCTTTTTGAATTTATGTATTCAGCGCATTTTCTAATAACAGATTTACTCTAAACTATCGAACTTTCCCAGTTGGTAATAGGGTTTTTCTCAAATTTTCTTGACCACATTAACTACAACTTCTTTCTTCAACGCCAATCCCACAACTCTTCTCTTTTTTCAAATAAATTCGTCCAAAAGCTTTTTTCTAGTTCTTTCAATCTACGTCTTCAACTCCACGCCTTGAAGGATAAACGTTAGTTAGTTACTGTTTTTTTTTCCATAGATTTTGCTACACACACTTCTCCTCTTCAGCATCCTCCTACCAGCTCTCTCTGCGCCCGACCGTGCAGAAGCCATGTCCAGAATTACCGAAGCCAGGGCCCGCCTTGTTGCAAACCGTGCGAAACATCGAGCAAACCCTGCCAGATTCACAACCCATGGCCGACCATCCATACCCAGTCGTTCCAAAAGACAATACGCCCCACAATACGAACCATACCCTTACCCACCGCCGCCGCCACCACCCCAAAGCTACGCATACGAAGACCCAGAACCAATCCCCGTCCACATCTGCTCCATCGAAGACGACGAATACGCAAGAAACGCAGAACCAGAAGAAGAATCACACGATTTTCACCACTTCTCTGGGGACCACGACCAAGCTTTTCCCGGCGTTCCACGAGAAAGTGAACAGTTTGATGATAAAGCTCGAGCAATGAATGTGTGGCTGGAGGAGTCCCAAGGCGAACGACCCTTAGACAGAGCCTTGGAAGAGTTGTCCGACGTGAGGGATATTTTGAGCGGGTTTGATGGGTTAAGAGAAGCTGAAACTTTACCAACTGAAACTTTACCAGCTGAAACTTTACCAGCTGAAACGACACCAGTTAACGTTACTGTAATAACACGAAAGCCGTCTAAGCCAAAGGGTCCTCAGCCAGGTGCACCCGAACATAGAGGCCCCATAGTGAAATTCGACACTCAAGGTGGTGATCCTGAAGACACTGATCAAACTAGGGATGCAGAGGCAGATCCTCATTTACATTCCCGTTTTCACACTCACCTCCACTCCACTGTTCACGGTCACGGACTTCCCTTTCCACCAACACATATTTCTACTTCTGGTTTACATTTACCTGCGACTCAAGTAATCACACCCGGGTTGAATTTGAACATCAACCAGAACCAAAATGTCAATCAAGGTTTAAATTCGGGTTTGCATAGAGGAATTGGGCCCATTATTCCCGGAGGAATCGTGTCGCCGCTAAGTCATTCTTTACCAAGTCAGAGTGCAGTCATTTCAACCCAGACGCAACCAGTTTTCCAAGTAAGGCAGTCTGCGGCATCACCCGATGCGATAGAAGCTCAGGGTCCTGAACGTCAACCTAATCCTTCCACTCTCCCAAGTCATTTTACTCATCCGGATTCCCCCAATTTTCAGTCGGCCATTCCAGGCTTTAGTGTGTCCAGATCTGGAGAAGAAACTTTCGATGAAGACGGGGCAAATTTTGGGGATGAGGAAGAAGTGCCGTCGGGACAATCCAGACATGCCAGTCCCACACACAAGAAAAAGAAGAAGATGAAGCACCAACCTTATCAGAGTTATCCTTCTTATAGCTCCTATTATCCACGTCCGACTTATGGACGATACAGAGAAGCCGAACAAGAAGGGGATTTTTTAGCCGAAGATAGAGAAGCTAGTCCAACCCACCACAAGAAAAAACACCAAAAATCGCACTACAGCCCCTACCGAGAAGCCGACGAGAATGATCAGCTTGCCTCAGCTGAAGACCTACTTTCTTCACTTTTTATGAGCCGAGAAGCCAGTCCCACCCACTCGAAGAAGCCAAAATTTACCACAGTCTACTATCCAACGTACAATAAACAACCACACTACTACGGCCAATCAGGGCACTACAGAGAAGCCGAAGATATCGAAGACCAGCGTCGCCAAAGAGACGAAAATGACGACTTAGAAGACCTCATTTCTTCGAATTTCTTGTTCGATTTTCCTGCCCGGAGAAGCATTTCGGGCTATAAGAGATCCACCGAGCAACAACTGGACCAAATTCTGGGTCAACAACGCCAGATTGTAGAGTCGCTCCAACACCAATCAAAAAACGACGAAGACTTGAAACTAGTAGCCGACATAAGCAACAGAACGCTGACAGATCTAGAAGAAAAGAGTCGAAAGATCAGCAAAAGGTCGATTCCTATTACCCGATTGATCAGTGACCCTAAAGTCAAGCTCGATGTTCCACAAACGGTTGAAAATTTTGGGACCGCTACCAAGCACTCATTCGAAGATGAAAGAGCCCCGATGTACCACCTCAAACACATGATTGGGTCCTCAAAAAACGCACTTCTTTCTGCCATGAGAATACCGCCTCAGAACATGATCATACCTTCGGACTACGAAATAGTAAGATCTTCGGAAAGTGGTGTTTACGATAATGAACCCGATGATGACCCGTCTTCTCATACTTTCACCAGAGTCGGACAAATGGTAAGAAATAGCATCAAATCGGGTCAAGAGACGGCAGCCCACCTTAGTGATGTGGCCCACAGTGCTAAAAATATGTTTAGCACGGCTAGACACTCAGCCCCCAGATTGATCATCCCATACTCACAAATTCCCGCTCTTCAAGACACCCGTAGACCAAGACCCAACAAGGCCCTTTTGCTAACACCAAGAATTCTAGATCTAGCCGAAGAAACTCGAAAATCGTCAGATTCCAGACCCAACTTTGTTCGTTTGGGACACTTGATGGACGCTGTCGGGATTTCCAAACCCAACCCGAAAAGTCTAGAGTTGCAGAAAATAGTTTTTGGACCTCGAGGTATCAGTGAGGGCCGCGCCGACGAAAAACTAGCCGAACTTTATAGCAAATTTAGACACAAATATGACGACGATGTGGAAACTGTTGGTGAGGCGATTAGTACCTTGGAAGATGCGAAAATATCAGTAGGGGCCAAAGATTTGCGCGATTTCCTCGTGAAGATGAGGGGCGAATTGACTAGTATGGTCCAAGGTACACCAGTTGAGTACAAGAAGAAACCGACCCTAAAGAAGAAGAAGAAAGAAGAGACGAAGGAAATGGGGCGCTTTATTGAAACCTTGTTTGATGGAAGTAAGCCGCAGCCAAAAAACGACGAACGCACAGAAGACGGAAAAACGGGCGAGAATGAAGTTGTAGGGGATAGAATGTTTCTTTCGCCCGAGCTTCTGCACCCGTTCATGGGGCGGGCGTCGGAAGCGGACGTAAAGAGCTTCCTTCGGGATAATGGTGACAATCTGGACAAAAAAGACGATGCGTCGAAGAATCACTATGAAGAATTGACTGGGTCAACCCATGATGATGGTCTTAATAATTCTGATTTGGGGTATGTTCTAGGGGCCATCAACCCTTTGATGTTTGAGAGGATGTATAATCAGACTGTCAAGATTAACAAAGAGGGTGTGACCGATCCTCAAGAGATGTTTCAGCATCAGCGCAAGAAAGACGATGATGGGACTGTTGGGACTAGTTTTACTTTGTCTGGACCCATGCTGAAGCCGTTCATGGGGGGTGTCCAACCACAAGAGATTGAAAATTTCCTGGATACGTACAACAGGGGTGAATCTTCCGAGTTTGAAGAAAACGAAAAATAGTTTTGTAGTTTTTATTTTGATAATGTATACGTTTGATTTTGTACGAAGATTAGGTACCTATGTAAACCTAATTCTGTTTGAACGATAGTTTTGGTATGGTCTTTGTGGCCTAGGTCTAGGTCTGCTGTAATAGGGATCTGTAACAATTTGCCAATTTAATATACATGTTTGACATATCAATGTGTATTATTGGTTGCATAACTAAGCAGAGTGTAGACAAGCAAGCAAATTTAGGTGAGTGATACGAAATTTTTGCTTAATAGTAAGCAATTTTCACAAACTTAGCAAAAAGGTAAGGTTAGCTTATGAAAATTACTTACTTATATCCCAAAAAGCGACACAAAGTCCCTGTGCAGCCTATTTATCTCCCGGTTAAACTGCCTAGTGATCCTATTCCTGTTATACCCATTTCCATTCCCATTTAAATTATACACATAGTCCCCAAAAATCGGGTTCGAAGCCACTAGATACTGACCCGGTCTGTTGTACTGATCTGGAAAAACATCATCATGATCTTCATGTACAGGCTTTTCGTCATTATAAATAATATCGTCGGGGTCCTGGACATCAGGTTTGGGGGTGGTTATAATAACTGGGGGCCTGCTGGGTACACTGGGTGGTCGACTCGGCACACTAGGGGGTCGACTCGGGGAGCTCGGAAAACTCGGATTCGACGGCCTATTGTTATCAAAAATACCGCTAAACAAACCGTTTTCAAACAAAGAAAGAATGCCTTGACCGTTGAAAAGACCGCTCGGGAACCAAGACCCTAACCCCCCTCCCCCATTAGTACCATCGTTTTGGGGCAAAACGGAGCCAAAATTGGGAGGGTTTGCCAAAATGCCTTGCACTTGCGACTGGACGAAGGTGATTGGTCCGTTGCTGCCAAAAAGACCGTTTTCGGGGTGGTCACCCCCAGAAACAACGTTACCTACTGAAAGGGTACGTCAAACATGAACCAAGTACCAATGGCATTAACTGATGGAAAGAACCACTTACCCCCTTGAAGTACCCCACTCAAAACGGGATGTTGAGAACCACCACCACCATTGTCTAGACAACGAAAAATTTTAGAAAAAATACACAAAGTGGTGGAACTTACCCCCTTGTAGTAGGCCGCTTAGGATGGGTTTTTGGGGGCCGCCGCCTCCACCGTGCTGGCCATTGCCGCCTCCACCGTGCTGGCCATTGCCGCCGCCTCCACAGTTGATGTTGTAGTTGTAGTTGTAATTAACGTCAACGTATTGGAGGGACCAATCAAAAAAGGTGCGTCCATCGGGGGTTCGGCCTCTACAAGGGCGGCGTCTTTTGTGGATTCGAGATTCGGGGTTGTCATACAAAGCTTTGTCGTTCGGAGGGATCGCAAGAACGATTTTCGTTAATATTGTGATGTAGAACACCTAGTGACTTTTGAGTTAGGTTTGATAATAAAATCGGAATTTACTTACGGTTTTTAGCAACATTGTGTGTTTGGTGGTTGTTTAGCCACTAGAGAAATAAAGGTTGTTATTACGCGCGGTCGCTACATCGAATGAAGAAAGCATTTCGCATTTCATCTCGCAAGCCAGAAGTGAGAGTCATAGGAGGAGATTACATAAAAATTATATCATGTGGTGGTGGAGCCACTATTAGTGATGCCTTAAAGGCATAGTTTTCTGCATTTTTGAAAATTTGTGTTGCGACATTCGGGATTCCCCCGGCGGAACCATTTTCTCTCGCGTGTGATAAGAGTGGTTTCACTTTCTGTCGAATTCTTTATGTCAAGAGGGATATTTAAGAGGTGTCGCATTCCATTTATCGTGTCGGAGTTGTGTATTGTCCATTAATTTAATAATCGAAGAATTTTTAAATGCCTATTAATGTGCGGATAGTGAAAAGTGGGTCAAATCCCACGCTATTATTTCTTTTTGGTAACTTCCCACTGACTTTTCCTAATCTGCAATCCTTACATAACATCAACTGCCGCTTCCACGAAAAAAACGATGATCTATATATACATATTTGCAGGGCTGGTTTTAGGCCGCTTTTCGTCACAGACTCACGCAACTTGAATTCTTTCTCAACGCGTTTATTTGTTATATATTAAACCATTAATTGTATTTTTTAGATTCAGTTCTAAGATAAAAAATGAGCCAGAAATGTTTTAGTATACGTTATATTGAAACAATTAATTTTACTTGAAATTGGTAGTTCTGTCACTGTCACGTTACTTCCCTAAATGTTTGGCGCCAAGCATTTGAATCAGATTTGACAATTTTTTTTCTATGAACAACTCAAACAGTACTTTTTGATCACGCTGTACTATAATGGGGATCCATTTAGTGAATGTATAGTATCGCGCTTTCTTTTATTTCACATCTCGTAGAATACGATAAGGCAAGTTTCTCATTTCTGTGTGTCTACATCAAAACTTGTTCACTTGTTGGTCATTTTTTTAAACATATGACCGCAAAATTAACAAATCCATTACTTATTTCGTATATTTTCGAATTTCACTCCAAATATTTCGAATATTTCGAAAATATGACCCTCAACACACTATATTTTTGGAATCAGCACGTCGAGATCTATAACCGTGAATTTTTTGATAATTTTCAGACGACTTTTTCAAAAATGAAATTTTACACTAACTTGCAAATTTCGAACCATTTTCGACGATTTTCTAAATTTAACTAAACACATTTTCTTGTAGATTTCGGGCCACAAAAGTCACTTCCGGCCTAATTTCTTCCATAACTCAAACTTTTCTTGCAAAATCGCCCATTGAAATATTGTAATTTTTAAAAATTTCCAAAAATTGGAATTTCACTCCGAATACTACGAAATTTTACTCCGTGGCCCTAAACACGCTATATTTTTGGATTCACCAAGTTAAGATCTATAACTCTGAAATTTTTGAGAATTTTTAGACGACTTTTTCAAAAATGAAATTGTCCACTAATGTAAATTCGACACATTTTCGACGATTTTCGAAATTTAACTAAATAAATCTTCTTGTAGATTTCGGGCCGCAGATGTCACTTCCGGGGTCATTTCTTCAACTCCAACCATTTTCCCAGAATCACCCACTGAAATATCGCAATTTTTAAAAATTTCAAAAAAATCGAATGACTCCGAATATTTGGAAAATATTGCCCGGTGACCCTAAAACGCTACATTTTTGGAATCAGCACGTCAGGATCTATAACCCTGGAACACTATACCGGGTGTCTGGAAAATGGCGGAAATAAGTCTAGAATACGTTATGTAAAAAAAATTATAAAAAAATCTTTATGGTGTATATTTAGAGGTTAATCACTTCTCTGTTCTTTCTATTAACATTCCATTTTTGTCATATTTTTTATTTTCATTCTCTCCAAAGCGATTCAGTTCTTGATTTAGCTTTTTTCAAGTTTTATGAGCAAGCAGTAGCCCCGCCCACCCACCCCTTCTTCATTCCAGTGACTACTCTTAATATTACTCAGTTCTATTTTAGCAAGTTTTACCCCCGCCCCTCCACCCTTTATTTTCTTAAATGGTATGTCGTTTGCCAAAATCACTCTTATCTTAGCAGGTACTAGCCCCGCCCACCCACCTTTTCTCTTCTTAGAGGATATGTCATTTGCCAAAATCAGTTTTATCTTAGTAGGTACTAGCTAAGAGTGATTTTGGCAAATGAAATACTCTATAAGAAAAGAGAGGGTGGATAGGCGGAGCTAGCAGCTGCCAAGATAAGACTGACTGTGGCAAATCACATACCTTCTAAAAAAAAAAGAGGGTAGGTGGGCGGGGCTGGTACCTGCCAGGATAAGACTGACTATGGCAAATCACATACCCTCTAAGAAAAGAGAGGGTGGGTGGGCGGGGCTAGTACCTTCTAAAATAAAACTGATTTTGGCAAATGATAAACCCTACAAGAAAAGAGAGGGTGGGTGGGCGGGGCTAGTACCTGCCAAGATAAGGGTGATTTTGGCAAATGAGATACCTTCTGCCCTTTGTTTGCCTAGAGGGTATCTCATTTGCAAAATCACTCTTATCCTTAGCAGGTACTAGCCCCGCCCACCCACCCTCTCTTTTCTTAGAGGGTATGTGATTTGCCAAAATCAGTTTTATCTTACCAAGTACTAGCTAATAGTGATTTTGGCAAATGAAATACCCTCTAAGAAAAGAGAGGGTGGGTGGGTGGGCGGAGCTAGCAGCTGCCAAGATAAGACTGATTGTGGCAAATCACATACCCTCTAAGAAAAGAGGGTGGGTGGACGGGGCTAGTACCTGCTAAGATAAGTCTGACTATGGCAAATCACATACCCTCTAAGAAAAGAAAGGGTGGGTGGGCGGGGCTAGTACCTTTTAAAATAAAACTGATTTTGGCAAATGATAAACCCTCTACGAAAAGAGAAAGTGGGTGGGCGGGGCTAGTACTTGCCAAGATAAGAGTGATTTTGGCAAATGAGATACCTTCTACCCTTTATTTTCTTGGAGGGTATCTCATTTGCCAAAATCACTCCTATCTTAGCAGGTACTAGCCCCGCCCACCCACCCTCTCTTTTCTTAGAGGATATGTGATTTGCCAAAATCAGTTTTATCTTACCTGGTACTAGCTAATAGTGATTTTGGCAAATGAAATACCCTCTAAGAAAAGAGAGGGTGGGTGGGCGGGGCTAGTACCTGCTAAGATAAGACTGACTATGGCAAATCACATATCCTCTAAGAAAAGAGAGGGTAGGTGGGCGGGGCTAGTACCTTCTGAAATAAAACTGAATTTGGCAAATGAGGCAACCCCTAAGAAAAGTGATTTTGGCAAAAATAAAACATCAGGTGACCTAAAATTTCAAATATTTTAAACGTAGGATTTTGAAAACTGTGACAATTTTTGACACGTCATACATTTCTCACTGTTAAAATAATAATGTATAATGCAAATTTCGACCCATTTTCGATATATTCGCTATTTAAAAAAAAATCTAATTTCACTCGGAATATTACGAAAATTTTGTCCCGTGACCCTCAACACGCTATATTTTTGGAATCAGCACGTCGATATCTATAACTCTGAATTTTTTGAGAATTTTTAGGCAACTTTTTCAAAAATGAAAATTTCCATTTCTGCATTTTTTCGACCATTTTCGAAATTTAACTAAACAAATTTTCTTGTATATTTCGGGCCGCAGAAGTCACTTCCGGCCTCATTTCTCCCGTAACTTCAACCGTATTTTCACTAAAATATCAAAGTTTTTAAAATTTTTAAAAATTCGAATTTCGCACCGAATTTTTCGAAAATTTTACTCCTTGACCATAAATACGCTATACTTTTGGAATCAACAAAACAAGATCTATGACTTTGAATTTTTTGAGAATTTTTAGGCAACTTTTTCACAAATGAAATTTTCTGTTACCGATTTTCGACGATTTTCGAAATTTAACTAAATACATTTTCTTATAGATTTCGAGCCGCAGAAGTCACTTCCGGCCCCATTTCTTCAATAACTCCAACCGTTTTTCCAGAATCGCCCATTGAAACACTGCAATTTTTTAAAAATTCAAAATTTTCGAATATCGCACCGAATTTTTCGAAAATTTTACTCCGTGACTATACACACGCTATATTTTGGAATCAGCACGTCGAGATCTATTACCCTGAATTTTTTGAAAGGTTTTAGACAACTTTTTCATAAATGAAAGTTTCCACTATGTATACCTTTTTCGACGATTTTCGAAATTTAACTTAATACATTTTCTTGTAGATTTCGCCAGAATCGCCAAATGAAATACAGCATTTTTTTTTAATTTCAAAATTTTCAAATTTCGCCGCGAATTTTTAGAAAATTTTACTCCGTGACCATAAACACGCTATATTTTTGGAATCAACAAGTCAAGATCTATAACTTTGAATTTTTTGAGAATTTTTAGACAACTTTTCCACAAATGAAATTTTCTACAATGTTACCCATTTTCGATGATTTTCGAAATTTAACTAAATACATTTTCTTATAGATTTCGGGCCGCAGAAGTCACTTGCTGTCCCATTTCTTCAATAACTCCAACCGTTTTCCCAGAATCGCCCATTGAAACACTGCAATTTTTTAAAAATTCAAAATTTTCGAATATCGCACCGAATTTTTCGAAAATTTTATTCCGTGACTATACACACGCTATATTTTGGAATCAGCACGTCGAGATCTATTACCCTGAATTTTTTTAAAGTTTTTAGACAGCTGATTTCCAAATTTTACCTCTCCAGAATGAACAAATAAATAATTTGCACTTTGATTTATTAAGGGTGCTTTTCCAAGCTTACCGGGACGTTTGGGTTACAACAGTTATCATAACAAGGCGGCAAATCACAAAATTCCAAAGCCAACTTAATGTGCCATCTTTTATAATGATTTTATTTTATAAGAGTACTTCTTATAGCGTGACAATTTATTTTTAAAAATTTGTGTTTTCTCTATTTTATGGAATTAACTTTAACTAAAAATTAATTAGCCTACTTTAAAGGGTAAGTACTAAGCTTTATACTCACTTATCTGTAACTTCAGTATTTTACTCAACAATAATTCAATTTCTTGTTCTAATTCAAATTCAAACCAATTTTCTACTTTCATGATCACTTACTACACACCGTCTACACCTAATCCGGTCCTGCAAACTTTACGATCAAATCTCCCGTGAAAATAATTTTTACGAACTAATTTGACCCAAAAACACCGCCATTAAAAACTTCTGCGCCGCTCTATTTATTTAATTTCAGTATTTACCTCTAAAACTGTCAATGCCGAAATTTTAAGCACCACATGATAACACTTCATTAACAACATCATGAAAATAATAATTAAATAAACATAAAACCCCAAATAACAATAAATCGGCGCTAATTCACTAAACAAATATACCATTTAAGTATTTCCGCTCTAAATTTAATCTGCGACGTAACCAGTAGTAATAGTACCACGAAAGTACGTAAACATTTTTCAACTTTTATTATAATGAATCGTAATAACAAAATGGCGTACAAAGTCGAACCTAAACTATGATCACAAAATATGGTTATTTTTTATAGTAGCTGTAGTACCCGTAGCAGCCTGGTCGGTACATGCCTACACAGTTGGTACCGTAGCCTCCGTAGTAGCTTCCATAACCACCAAGCGAACTACCATAAAGTCCACCAAGCGAGCTACCATAAAGACCGCCGTAGTAACCCGGACTGTAGCTCATGTAGTTGGAGTAAGGCCTGTAGTAGCTACCACTGTACCCATAGTACGGCCTGTACATGCTACCATAACCGATCCCATTATACCCGTAATTCCCCATTGGACGGTAAGACATGTACCCACTGTACATTGGGTACATGGATGAATATCCGGTACCAGTAGTGTACCCCTGGCTGTAGGACCCATATGAAGACGAAGTTTCCGAGCTGACGAGATCAGAGTACCCGATGGCGTACCCATGGGTTGAAAGGACGGTGGCGGCACAAATTAAAATGATGATCTATCGAAAACGAGTTAGTTTCTAAACACGTAAAATTTTGTGGGTACTTACGGCAGCACGCATTATCACACTGTGACACTATTGGTACTAAAGGAAAATCATCGAGGATTATCTGGATTGCAGTTATATAGACTTCGTCTAAGTAACCTTGCGTTTTTCTCCCACCTGTCAAGTTCAGACTTAAGTCGTTGACATAACCAATCAAAATGAAAGATTTTTTCTTGTAAACATTGCGTTTGAACGTTCTGGGGTATTTACGACAATGTAATATTCCTATATGAAGCCGCCATGTGTGTTATGATGGATAAATATTTACGTGCTCATATGTTGGCAATATTTTTACTATTAAGGGAAAGCCATCAAAATCGACAATTTCTAGTGTGTCGTAAGAGATTTTTGCACAAAAATTGGGTTCGCTGCGATTATTAACAAAAAAAAAGGATTGGCTCATTATGAAATGGTGTTTGTTGCAAGCAATTACGTTATTAAGTGATTCAAGATGCAGTTAATGTGAAAGATCAGAAACGCGATTTTATTCAGAAGTCGTACTTCGGTTAGTACTGAAAATTTAAATAGCAATTGTTTATATCGCTATCGTTATAATTTAATTTGCGCTTGGTTCGTTATTGTATGCAAACGATGTTGCTTTGTCGGTACTGCAAGTCTGGTTATGAGTACCAGAACAAAGAAAAAAATCAGGTTGATTGTAGATTTTTTAACTTACATTATTGTTGTGTAAGTTCTTCTTTACAAAAGCATGAGTTAGGGAAATCTGATTAAAGTACTTTTCCTTTGGAAGTGTTCACTGGTACCATTCTCGAAAACACTCGATTCTCGTTACGTATGGCTATAGCGTCATCCTCGGTTATTCTAAATTAAACCAAATGGACAATGATTCATTACATGTTTATCCAAATCGCATGTAAATTCGATCTCTTCGGCACACAAATGGATGAATTACGTTACGTCACAAAGGAGTGTTTTGTTTTTTGTTTGTGGTAATTAAATTTTTCAATTAGTACTATGTGGAAGAATGTTCTTTTATCCAATTATTCCGTTGTATTGTTTGTGGTGTTGGAAAATTAAGACACTTTTACTTACGAATTAAAAAAAAAAGTTAAGCTGGCTTAAAGTGAGGGAAAAATTTAGTTCAAGGTACTACTTGCACTGAAAACGGATGTAAATGTTGGACGGGATAGGTTAAACAATGGGTTATGTAAAGGTTGGTTGACTTTTATGGATTTGCGATGAGGTGTTACGTATTAGGTGTAACTGACCTATGGGAACTGTGTTACAATGGTACTAGAATGTCTAAAAATTGACAAAAATTCTCAAAATTCATCTATTAGAAACTAAAATTGAGCACTTATATGCACCAAAAATCTATGGAAGAGTTAAATTGCAATACTTTGTCTATTTTCCTCTGAAAAAATTGATGACGTAATTCTTGCTATAATTTAATTTCTCTCCGTTACACATATGAATTATTCTAACACAACTATTATAATAGAATTGCAAATTAGTGATGAAGACTAAAAAGCTGAAACGGATCCACATATCGTAGATAATATATTATCTGTTCAAAAATTAAAAACGGCAACATTGTCTAGGGAGATTTTTTGGTGGCAAAATGTCCTGTCTAAAAAATTGAGGTTAGGATGATCATGCCTTTCATTCAAAACACGTAGTTTTTATTTATTTTATTTTGACATTTTTGTCATGAAATTTCAAATTTGAAGTTTTTTGTACTACCAACTTGCCAGTGAAAAATTTAATTAAGGAGTTTTATTTGGTGCCAACTTAATTCAGTGAACAGTAAAACAAAAATTATGATGATCCCAATACAAACACAATATAAAGCTTTGATAATCAAATTTTACTGTTTATTTCAAATTTTACACAAAAAATTGACATTTATGTTAACTGAAATTTAATAATTGATCCCTTCTGAAAGTTGATGACATCATCTCAGCATCCACAACTGAGTTTTTTTAAGAGGATTTCCTTCTCTTATTAGCGGCACATTTTATTTTTGAAATTCTGATGCGATGTTGCCAAGTTATTCTAATGTTGTTGAAATTTTTCTTTTTTTTTTTTGATTTACTGTCCCTAATACGGAAAGAGAAGTTGCGAAAACTATCAACTTCAGACTTCAGATATAGAAAATATAACAAAAAAGAGACAGAAAATAAAAGGACGATGCTGTAATAAAATATGTTATAAAACTGATACGTGGTAATTTAAAAATAATATACCGGCTGACTATTATTAATAATAATTTTTGTGTTGGTAATTCTGAATTATTGGCAGTAATGCTAGTATGTCAGTTCACAGTTGTCAATTTTGACATGAGCACACTTAACAAACGTGATGAGAATATGACAGATATTGACTTGACTATTATACCATTACAAAATTTTAAATAAGTCGCCAACTTGACAAAAAAATCACAAACATTAATAGTCACTCCATGTTTAAAATATTGTAACACAAATAAAAAAAATAAAATTGGAATAACTTGACATCGTCGAATTAAAATTTTAAATATAGTTTTTGCCTTTTCTATTGAAACACTACTTGTTGATCATAAATTTGTCAACGTTCATATTCAGACAATTTTGTAACTAAAAACCGTTCTCAATTGACCAGTAAAGTGAATGACGCGCGAAATTTGAACTCAGTTCATAACACGAGACCCGAATTTCAGTTCCCCGTGTAATCCTTATGGGTGAAATCGAGGCGTCACTTTAACGCTTAAATTCTACCATTAAAGTAATTTTCTTATATATACCACTACTTGTACCATTAAGACTGATATTTTTACTGTTGATCTTGATACCAAACATGAACGGAACCGGTGGTATTTAATAAATATTTAAATTCAACTTTTACCACTACATTTGCCTCGAACGTATGTCGTACAGTGGTTCATACTGCCATTGACTTCCCCCTCCACATAAATGGCTTTGATTTTGAGATGCTACAGATGCGGCTGTGAATTTAAAATAATACATAAAGGAGATCTCATATTTGCAAATGTTTTCAATCAATTGCCAAATTTTGATTTAAGAATCATCATCAATCCCAAGCTTTTTTCTTTTCACACTTTTTGGTAGAAAATGAAAAACTTAGCATTCGTGATTAAACCTTTCATGTACAAGTAAAAATCACTTTCGTTTTAGTACGAATTGGGTCTGAAACACCCATTTAAAAAAAATCACAATTTAAAGACCAATTTATTTCAAAACAAAAAAAATATATTCTACAATAAAAAATTGCACCGCCTAATGCAAAATCTGATTCACTTTTGTTGAAAAACTGACCCACAAACTGTTATATTAATGAGCCATTTAAATAGTCCTCGGACACTAATAGTTCTTCGACACTGTGAAGTAGATTTTCTTCAGATCTTTCTGGTTCAGGGCCCAATAGCCAAAGCAGTGCTTCGCTCCCATCAGTTTGTCGTAAGCTTTCATAAAGTTGTACCTCAATAAGGAGTGTTCATTTTATTAAACGGACACCTTTAAAGTAACGCCACTTTTCTAATTTTTAATCTAAATTATTCTAGTTTTTATATATGAAAGCTTTAAGTTGTCTCTATTAAATGCCATTTTTGTTTTCAAAATAACGTTATTTCTTTTTAAAATGAAGCGAATCGCCATTGGGGCAAGAAAATTATCTTTGCAAAAGTGATGCTACGAAAAATTTCCGTTGGGGGGACTGCCTAAAATAACTAAATGTTCAAAATCAGCAGTGTTCCAAATAATCAAAAAGTTTGGGGAGTTTAATACTTCAGAAGATTTGCTCAAATCCAGACCGAGAAAAGGCCCGCTTAACGAAAATATTGAGGAAGACATCATTAAACTGCTAAAATTAACGAAATGTATGTCTGTGCGGGAAATACCGAAGAAGCAAGGTGTACCGTAGGTACTGTACAAAATATAAAAACTCGGAATAACATTAGAACGTATTAAAGCAAAAAATCCCAAAAAGAAGCGAAAAGCAGCGCATACAGTTTCAAAAAAAAAGCAGGAAGTTATAAACAATTTTGGTCAGGAACAAAAATCGTTGTGTTTTGATGGACAACCAAACGAAGGTTAAAATGGAATGCAATACACTACCCGGCTCCCAGTTTTATAATGCAGTCGTAGGGGAAGATGTCTTCGATGACATGAAAACAAAAAAAAAATGAAAAGTTTGGGAAAAAAGTCTTAGAGTGGCAACCGATTTGTTCTTGTGGGCCAAAAAGTTTTAGTTTTTTTTACGATTGGAACAATTGGGGGCGATGATTACAGGAAAGAATGTATAAAAACGCGATTATCGCCTGTTTATTGCAAACATCATAACCATCCATTGTTTTGGCCAGATATGGCTTCGGTTCACTACGCTGGTGCCACTCAGGAGCTTCTTAATTCCAATAATGTACAGTTTTTAAAAAAGGAAGATAAACCACCCAACTGTCCTGAGCTTCGTCCACTTGAGCGATAATGGGCAAATATGAAAGCAATGTTAAGAAAAGATGGCCGAACAACATCATGACTTGGAGAATTTAAAAAAATGTGGCCTCCTGCTACGAAGAAAATCACAAACAAACCTGTGCAAACAGTGATTGGCGGTATTCGCGCAATAGTTAGAAAATGTTATAGTTACTGAATATAATTGATTAGAGAATGAGAATAATTATTTCATTCAACATTGTTAAACATTTTTATAACAAAAAAAATTAAATTAGCCCAAAGTACTCGAATTAGTAGCAATTTTTCAGTGTCCGCTTTATAAAATGAACATTCCTTATTAGCTGTTTTTAGGTTGACTTGGGGATTAAAAGAATTTTCAGAGATCACAGCTCTGACCTCGGCTGATTCACTTTTCTTCAAATGTACGTCCCAAGAACGCAAATTATTGGTCCAAAATACATTATAACGCTCGTGTAGGGCAGGTGTAGCCAAATGGTGACATACAAATGCACCTCTTGTGGTTTCACATGTTGCTTCTCTTAAGGACTATCTATGCAAAATAAAACAAAATACCTCATAATTGTACTTGATACAGAATTTATCAATATACATTAACTTACCATTGGCTATTTCGCATTCTAGCTCGAATAAACTCTTCAAGCACATTTAATTCAGTATACCAAGTGACTTTCACTGCATTATTTGACTGCAAAGAATTTTCTCCGCTCACAATGCATTTCCGATCGTCAACAAAAAAAAAACTGGTAATTGCCCCTATTGTTAACACATGTCTTTCTGTCATTATTAATAACAAATACAATAAAACCAGTCCACAGACATATACAACCTTATGTGAACCAATATCACAGAACTAATATATCATCCAAAAATTGTGATTATGATTGTTTGTTGTGATGAAAATACGAAATCAACTGTCATATTTTGGGGATTTTCACGATCTAAACGTCACTAACCCTCCAAAATATTCGCGTTCCTTTTCTGTTCGGCGTGTTTCTGGATTTTCCGTTTCACTCATGCGCAAGGCATTAGAAACGATGTACGTTACTTTGATGAACAACGTTGTTTTTAATTTGCGATATTTCTTTAACACAAGCTTTTTATATAGTTAAACCTTTAGTAACAGGAAGATAATTGTACAGTCTTTATCGCTTGTAGCATGAACTAGTTAAGATTTCTACCTGTGCGGTGTATTTTGTCTGTAAAATCAAGCTCCCATAAGAAACCCATAGTAGAATCAGAGATAATTTATCTCTGGTAGAATTTTTGAATTATGAACTGCCGCGCATTCTAAATTCTAACCTTACTTTACTGGTCAATCAACTAAACGTTCCATACTGT